ATCTCAAGTGCTATAGCAGCATCTAAAAGCACAGAATATTCCACCAAATATTTTATATTAAATATTTCTAGAAATTAATTTGTCTCACTCGCTTTCTCAAAATGTATACATAGATAACATTGGTGGGTACTATGTAGTCTAAGAAAACCTAGATTATATGTATTAAAAAGAAGATTTTAAAAACATTCTTTAGAATAACTATCAATCTAAACTATCTTGTATAGCACATTATCTTCTTTTATGCAAACAATGACTGATTTTGACAAAAGAGATGTAAGGTTTGTAGAGCCTGAAGTTTATACAGTTTACATGAATTAGTTGTTCACAGTTCACATGAACCAACTCAAATAAATGCATTGCTATTGTAGGGACAGACAAGGCAAGGCACCAAAGTTATCAGGAAACAGTTTTATTTGGCTGCAGCCAGGTTCAGAGGGGACAGCTTTTACTATAAGCAATCAATCCCCTGAACCCCAAGTTCAGGTAGTTTCAGAGTTTTATAACCAGCATGTAAGGGGAGGAACTCAGAAGTTCAGGCTGCAGAAGTTCACATAAAAGCAGCTTTTTCTTTCACTGTTCTGGGCAAGTTAACCCTTCAAGGACAAAACCTGAGAAGGGGAGAACTTCTTCTCCCCTCTCTTTCCTCCCTCTGCCAGCTTTTACCATAGAGCCCAATTGGTAACTTCTCTTATCTTAGAAATGTAGACATCTCTGTGAAGCTCCAGCTCAAGGCCAGAGGCCTTGTTTACACATTTCTACAAACTACTATACTGGATACATTTGTGAAAAACTAGTAAGGGGGTGTCTAGCATCTGGAATGCTGATTTCTTCCAGGCTAGCGGCCAAGTAAAATAGGGCAACATGAAAATAGGAAATTTATCTACATTGAACTCTTTTGTAGAGACTCATTTGCTGACAGTCTTAAAATCAGCCATAGTGAAGATTTCTGGAGAAGCAGAGTTAAATTTTTTTTTTGTGGAGAATGGGGGTGCCACTACATTGCAAAGCCCTTTCCCTGGGTCTAGGAAGGGCTTGTGCAAATGAAGAATTAAAATTTAAGCTTTTTTCACTTCACAGGAAAGTGATCTTTGATATCACAGATATTCAAAATGCTTTGTGGAGATTAACAGATGAATTCCAATAATAAAATTTAAAGAAACCTGGCATTTTATTACAATATCGTATTTTACAGAGTTAATGAGATATTAAACATTGAATGACTTGCTTAAAGTAATCTAGCAAATTATCATTCCAACAGGTTTAAAATTTTTTTAGTACAAAAACACTTAAAAGTAATCATTTGGTATACTGCTGATCCCTCTTTATTGGGAAAGAGAATACCAAGTCATTGTTTAATTTATCTTGCTTGACAAGCCCACAGAACAAAATACTGAAAAGTAAGATAAGTATATAACCTTCTTCAGTACTTGTCACCCTGAATTCACATTATTATAGCTAATAAAATTCAGATTAGTTCAAGATCAAGAGATATAAGATCTATTAAAAAAATTTTACTTTATACACAAATGCTTTTGATTTTCTAAGTGGCACAACTTCCCTGGCAGGAGTTCTTATGAAATCAATAACCAGAGAATGTTTTGGCTGAAAATTTTCTTCAGAAAACCACAAAATATTTCTCATTAAAGGTGACACAGGGACTGGCTCAGTGGTAGAGCGCTTGCCTCGCACGTGTGAAGTACTAGGTTCGATCCCCAGCACCACAGGTACTTTTTTTTTTTAAAAAGTGACACAGCTTTAAGTATGAGAAATCAGACTTACCCCCTTCTGAACTAAAATAATTCTCAATGCTGGTGTTCCATCCGAGGCAAGTCGGCCTCTGCATCATCTGACAGGGGAGATCCTGATACCTATAAAATAATCAATCTTTATAGTTTCTCAGTAATTGTAAATGTCTCACTCCTCCAAAATTCCAATTCTGGCTGTTTAAATATCAGATGCTTAGAATTAACTATTCATAGCTCAAGTTGCTTGCATGGGAAAGAATGAAGTCAGAGGACATTTTGGCCTTTAGTTTATACATACATTAAAAGATACTTCTAATCTGTCATTGTGTGCTATTTATTACAAAACTTATTATAAAACAAAAACCATTTGAAATCATCATATTAAGACTTCAAAGCAACCATTATAACTGTGTTATATGAAGTAAAGGAAAATATACTTGAAATGAATGAAGGGTCAGGAATTCTTAGCACAGAAATAAAAGCTATTAAAAATAATCAAGTGGTTATTTTAGGATTAAAATATATACTATCTGAAATTTTTAAAATCTAACTGAATGGACTTAATAGTGGGACAGAGATAACAAAGTAAAATGTCACAGAACATGAAGAGAGGTAAAAGAAACTGTACAATCTGTAGAAAGAAAAAAGATTAGGGAAAAGTTAACAGTTTCTCAGGAACCTGTGAGAAAACATCAAAAGGTCTAACCTATGTTTTGTCATTAGACTCTCAGAAGGAAAGGAGCAGAAACATACATATTCTAAGGAACTAAAAGAAATTCTAGAAGTGGAAGATTATATGGAATAGAAAACGTTTAAATTAGGTAAAAGGATGGTCTTAGGAAAAAAAAATGTCAGGTAGACAATTCATTTTGAGAGATTAAGAAATGATTCCAGAGTTTTACTCTTTCAAAATGAGGTTTTAACTTTAGGGTTAATGCAGTAAAATTCTACAAACTCCCACAAAGCCTATTGTTATACAAAGAACATACCTAGGCTACACACACACACACACACACACACACACACACACTCTCACTCACAGACACACATTTTTAACCTAAAAAAATGATTACTACCAGTTAGGAAATTTATATATAAATATTTATGCAATAAGATACTAACTGCAATGACATATAAAATGAGCTTTAGCAAGCAAAATCTTATAGATCAACAGAAAACCTGCCCAATTCTTAAGACCAAATTTTCCTTAAAATATAGTAAATATGTAAGAGACCCAAGTTTCTCTAATTTACAAAGAATATTTCAATACCTGATGTAAAGCAACACTGGGAGTATGCAGGTCAATAGCAGCCAGAGAAGGAATCCGAGATTCTGAAAGAATTTTGTTCTCTTTCTTTATTAGTCTAGAATTTCGAGCTAGATAAAAACAACCATAAACACAATGAAAAAAATATACATTTTTTTAGTTTTTCATATTCTACATCTGTCCCTCAATATGTATTTATTACACATAAATGAGTATATGTGTTTAATTACTTAAAATATGTAAGGTTACCATAAATTATTTCTTAAATATTCTGTTAGTTTATTTACTACACATTTTACAATGTACACAAAAGGGCTGAAAAAATTAAAAGCATCATAAACATACCTATTCCTTCCAAGGCTCTTAGTTCAGGGAGATGATTATAGTTCAGTTCAGGCAAACGGACATCTGTCTTAGAATATTCCCTTCTTTTCTTATTTGCCTGAAGGAGGCTTTTTTCACTAGAGACCTAATTTGGTCAGAATTATTAACAGAAATAAATTAGCTTCAGGGTAAACTAGACTTTCTTTCTTTTGTAACGACTTTATTTGTATCCTAATGTTTATAGATTTAAAGAGCCAGAATAAAAAACTTTAAGGATATTAATAACATAGGAAACCATTTTACTCAATTATTCTAAACCTCCTCTTTACCAAATTTATTAAAATTGTTAACAAGTGGATAACCTGATTGTTCTACATTTCTCCTTTTCCCCGTGCCAACCTTCGGTATAAGTCCTGCCAAGAGTAAAAGGATAGAAGATGAAAATCAATACTCTGGTCTTTCAGGCTACCAAGGTCAGACCTAATAACACTTGGGCTTTTCAGCAAATAGTTGCCATTACATGTATTATAATAGAGCTCCCTTGAAATTAAAAGCTCTAAATTATTTTCATTTCCTGATTTTAAAAATGTTTTTTTTTTCCATCTTAACTTCCTCATGATAAAAATGGAAACTGAAAAACTAGTCCCTAGATTAAGTGGGTGCCAAGGACACTGGAATTTTGACATAATTCTCTAGCAAGCACAGCATAGCTAAATCCACATAGGTGTATTTCCTGCCTTTTATCTTACTATACCCACTTTTTCTCTCATAAAAGTTGTTTGCATCCCTGAGCACTCTCAAGTTGGAGATTGAGACAGAAAAGTCTCCTCTAACTTCCTCAGGAATGGCTTTGAATAAATCTGTTTTCTTCCACCAATTTGTGATTCCTGAATTTTGGTTGAGTGGTGAGCAGAACCTTCAATTCCAGTAGCATAATCACATCTCCTCCAAGATTGATTCTTTCTTTCTCAATATAATCTTGTTACTTGTTTTCTGTATTTGGTCTTGTCTTGCTCCTTAGGGTTAGCATGATACTATCTTCCCAGGAAATATAGTTTATTTAGTAAAAAACTGTAACCTCAGTTATTTTCCTTGTCTTTTTTATTTTTATTACTTCATAGTTGATAAAGTCAGAAAACATCCAAAGTGAGGAATAGTAGTGTCACTTCAATTCTTCAATTTTATAAATTTGATATTTTTATAAACTTTTTCATTTAAGAATTGCAGAAACTACATTCTTTTCAACATCTTCAAAATAAATGGCACATAGAAATTATGTGACTTGACAAAAAACATATATGACAAAATCACATATATGTATGTGTGTATTTATATATACATATATATGATGAAATACACACACAACAAACATACACATAATGACATACATTAAGCCATAAAGATTCCTTGAGTACAAAAAATAAAATCAAAAAGTGAGTTCAAACTACCAGATTTACACATTCAAAGCATGACAAAAAAAAAAAAAAAACACATAATAATAAATGTTTGTATATTTATTCACATCCCAGAATTAGGGCATAAAGAGTGGGGAAAGTACAGATCTTTAATGCAGAAGCTGAAGAAAGTCTAGATTTAGTTCTGTCTGCATTAATTTTCATTAAGGAAAGACTCCAGTAGGTCTTTTCTCCACCATTTTTTTTTCACGTCAGATGGGTAATGTGCTGATGTCATAACAAGGTTTAGAGGGAGGCACATCTCAGACAAGAGCAGGACCCCCCAATCATCACACGTACGAACCGAAGGATCTTTTCTCCACCAATCTTTACCCCCTTTCTCGATTATCTTTTCCAAAGAAGAATAAATAAAAATAGGATCTAAAATTATTAGCCAGCATTGAATATGCAATGCCTGAAAGCAGTTGATATCAATTCTTAAAAAACAGTATTGAGCTAGCTACTTTTAAAAAGGTTTGCTGATTGAAATAATCTTCCAGAACAGGCCAGGATTAAAAAATAAAAGAAATCAGTAGGGTATTATCAAAAAATAAAATGTCATGAGCACAGAAGTAATATACTAAGAATAATTAAAAGAAAAACAGCAATGTCCAAATCATGAGAGAGATGAAAAGACTGTATTTTTCATCTCTGAGGATAATGAGTAGAGAAATTAGTGGAAAAAATACTGTTTGGGAAATATATCCATACCTCTTCTTTCTATGTAAAAAGAATTTACTTATTCTCCACATTTCTTAAGTCCCACCCCTCTCTTTTTTTTGGGTTCTAATCCAAGGCCTTATGCATGCTAAGCACAAACTCTACCACTGAGCTATACTCCTAGCCCCTCTTAAGCAGCCTTACTGGGCTAAACATTATTCTCAGGAATGGAGTATAGAAGTGAAGAAAACATCACAAATTACTGACATGGAAGCTTACACATGGTATTTTTGAGGAGACAGACTATACATAAAAATGAGCATATAGAGGATGCAGATATAGGTAATGAAAAAAAAACTAAGGAAGGAGAAGAGATAGAGGGTAATGAGAAAAAATGAGTCACAATATTAAAGAAGAACTCACGATAAGGTTTTATGTGTACTAAAGAGGAGAAAAAGTACACAATAGTGGGTTATCTGGAGGAACAGAGCTCTAAATGTTAAGTGTAAAAGCCCAGAAGAACGCATGGCCATATTTCAGGAATAACAAGGAAATCAGCATGGTCAGAACAGATTGATAAAAAGAAAGGAAACAGAGGTAGGATTAAAAGGGCAGGGGGCTTTCATCATGCAGGAACTTGATGGCCCCTTAAGGACTTTGGCATTTACTCAGAAAAGGGAAGTCAATGAAAGATTTTGAACAGAAGAATGATGATGATTTGACATCGTTTATAAAAGCAGCATTCTGGAGGTTATGTTGAGAATAATAATGCTCCTTCCTGTGCTATCTCTGAACCTTAGTCATGCTTTGAATACTAAAATCTGATAGCATGTTTTTAGTTTGCTGATTTTTTAGACCAAAAGTTCCATGGAGAGAGACTGACTTAATTCTGGTGTCTTATATAAAATAGATGATCAAGAAATATTTGTTAAATGAATAAAAAAATACTTTCACCAGAAATCTGGTGTGGGTAAGATAATGAGATAATTTCTCTTTTCATTTATTCTAAAAAAAAAGAACTGACTGATTGGCAAGCATTAAGAAAATTTACTATGCTTCCATAAACAAGCAAATGGCATTATAACAACATCCTTCAGGCTTATTTAAATTTTAGGATTCTACATTCTGACTATGACAGGACGATTTTTGCATAATTAAGGTTTCACTTTATGACTCTAAATACAATTCTCAGTTCTTAACTGTCATACTGAATATTATACAAGTCTAGAACTGACTAGTGCTTGCTCTTCTTCGACTGGGAACAGTTTACTTACTGATGTCACATTAATATTATAAATTCCTGATGGAGAATGTTTATTTGGTTTAACAAATGGAATACAATACTTCTTAGTTTTCTCATCCACTCTGCAAAAAAAATTAAAATCAATAATTATTATTTTCAAGCACAAAACCAAATGACACAGCACCAAGTGTTACGCAGTTTAATCAGAATTTGATGCCTATCTTCAAATATATATTACATATAAATCTAGTGAAGCATTCTATAATTTATCACTTGACTCATGCCTTCCTCACAGCCTCAACTCCTACCTTTTAGCAAAATTTACTTTTCTTTTAGCAAAATTCCCAAAAGGTGCTTCCTTTTACCACCAAGTGCCAATAGACAAACTATGCAGCAGCAGACCACCAAAACAAATTTCTTATTACAATAACATTCTTTCATATTATAGTCTAAATAGTTGTAAATTCTCTTCACCTTAAATCATACAATTCTACTTCCTTAGGACTCAGGTGAATTTTGGGTACAAATCCTAATAATTTTCATCATACAAGTCAAAAAGTTTTGCAACAACAACCTAACAAGTATAAATAGCATCTATAATTCTACGAGTAAAACAATGTGAATGAATCAATAAACATTATCATTTGCAAATAGATCTCTTAGCAATTTTTTTAGTCTTACTTTCCTAATTCATACCTGTAACTCTGTACACCTGAGATAGTTCCCATTCCAGAATTAACACCAGGAGCAACTGCTGAAAGATTGTGTATAAGTGGGGGGATTGCTGTGCTTGGATTCCTTGTGTGGTTCACGCTGACATTGCTGCAGTCTCTGAGGCTTGTGGAAGGCACTGTTTTGATGTGGCTTATCCTATTTCCATGGAGATACCTGGCATTTGAACCTCTATTGCCTTTTTCAACTTTCTCTCCATCGATTTTTGATCCTTTTATTTTAAATACCTTAGAATTCTTAACTTTGGGATCAGCATTGGTATCCTAAGCATGAATAAAAATATTAAAGTTAGTGATCTGAAAAGAAAGAAAATTACCTCTTCTTATGTAGTACTTACTTGTTGCCTCAAGCAGAATTTCACAGGTATCACCTTTTTGTGACCATTATCTTTAATCTACCTATAGAATTAAAAATGAAACCCACATTCTTATTCACATATTTATTGTGAAAATACAAAAAGAACCAAAATGTAACACTAATTGATAATATATTTGGATATGTGTGCATATGGTATCTGTATATGGTGTATATGAATTTCAGTGGGGAAAAAAAAGTGAAAGAGGAATTAAGAAAGCTACTTTTCTCACCTCTATGCTCCCTGACTCTGAGGGTAGTGAATTCAAATTACCTTATTAAGAACAGATCCTGAGTACCTTAGCCAGAAAAGCAAATTTAAATATTCAAATTTCAATTTTATAATGCTCCAATTTATATAAAATTCTAAAACAATATTTTTTTCTCACATCATTTAAGGAGAAAGAGTGGTGTGTGTGTGTGTGTGTGTGTGTGTGTGTGTGTGTGTGTGTTTGCTCTCCCTGTGTGGGTGGACACATACAAGCATGTGTCTAGGTGTTCTTAGATGAGCATATGGAACTGAATTTCTCGGAAGAAGCCACATCTATATTAAAGATCCTGCAGACTATTTGAATTTGGATGACTACAACATTATGATTATGGAGAGATGGAATGTAGGTCATGAGCCAAAATTATCTTGAGCTGTCTTTTGAGCCATTTACTTTCAACCTCTGTATCTGACCTAACATCCTCATGACTCTTAGGTAAAACTCTTGGAATGTATTACTAGGCTTAGCAGACCTCTAGCCTCCAAGAACCCCAGAGTTAAAAATGCTATAATATCTGAAACCTATAAAAGAGATTTCTCCTTCTGCTGTAGCTCATCTACCTAGACTCCACCAACATAATTTTATGTTAACAACTTTAATTTCCTGACAAGCATTATTATAGTTTCCTGGTATACACTGGCATTAAAAACATACTGAGTTTGTTTTAAACTGGCAATATCTGTAGGGAAGATACATTTTTAACAAATAGGCTAACAGTTAAGAACTTGTTCACCACTCAGAAAACTTCTAAAAGCTTCATTTCCTCCCACAAAAATTAATTTAAAACATAGACATTTACCTGTACCACCAGCATTTTTCTTTCTTCACCTAAGGAATCATCTTTTTCCTTTTCCTTCTTTCTGTTTTGGGATTTTTTAGATAAAGAAATATTCCTGGCATCTTTCTGTATTTTTAATTGTAGTTCCTGAGAAAACCTATACAGAAAAATACATTCTTCAATAAAATGAAATTGTATGAAACAGAGAAACCTAGAAAAACAATTGATTTTCAAGATAATTGTTGAAAATCTCACCCTTCAATCAAGGGTGAGACTAGAATATTTTATTTAAAATAAGAAAAATGATGGCCTAGATCAACAGTTAAGAAAGGGTAGTCTATAGATCTGTAGGGATCCCTGAGTATCATTCAGGAGGTTCACAAAGTCCAAGATATTCTGTTTTGTTTTATTTATTTATTTAGATACTGGGATTGAACCCAGGGGGCACTCAGCCACTGAGCCACATTCCCAGCCTTTTTATTCTTTATTTTGAGACCCTGTAAGTTGCTTAGGGCCTTGCTAAATTGCTTAGGCTGGCTTTGAACTTGTGATCCTCCTGCCTCAGCCTCCTGAGTTGCTGGGATTACAGGTGAGCATCACCATGCCTAATACAAGCTATTCTTATCTTAATATGAAGATATTGTCTGTATGCTATAAAAACAATGGGGGGAAAACCTGCCAGCTCCTTGCCAAGAATTAGAACACTGGCACCAAACTATACCAGAAGTCATTTTCTTCATTGTCATGCATTTTCAGTTAAAAAAAAAAAAGCAGTAAAACAGTTTTACTTAAGAATGACCCTGATAAGGCAGTGAAAAGTATTAATTTTATAAAAGCTAAACCCTGTTTTCATATTCTATGTGACAAAATGGTAATATGCATAAAGCATCTATTATGAACCAAAGTGCAATGATCATTTTAAGAAAAGCACTTGTATATTGTTTGAGATACATACTACAAACTTTTTCATAGAACAATATTTTTACTTGAAAGAAAGAATGACAGAAAACTGATGGTTAGTTAAATTTGGGGGAGGTGCCAGACATTTCTTTTAGAAAATAAAAAAATGGTGAATAATATATTTCAATAATAAAACTCAAGCTTTCATGTTAAAATTAGAATTCTGTTGAACTTTTGATCTTAAAAGCTTCCCAATGATTCAAAACAGTTTTATGATGAGATGGAATATGACATTTTTTATATTGTACAATGAAATTTATCAATATTTTCCAAATGATTAATGCATGGTGTTATAAAAGCAAGGATGATTAAAAAG